AGCCTCTTATTGGACACTCCTGACCTGCTGGCTCCGGCCCATGGCTTCCTCAAGGTGCTCAATGAGAAAGCAGCAAAGTAAGTTGAACCTAAGGACAAGAAAACGGGTTTTTATCGAGGAGAAACTGTTTGACTGACTTTTGAATGTTCTTCAAAATCACTCAAGACAAATAAGATTATCTCTATTTATCCATCAAAGCATGTTTTGATGGATAAAGGAGTGAACAAATCTTTTTCTATTGCTTGTTGTGTTTATAAACCAAACAAAAGAGGTTTTTTTTTTTGTTTTAATTCATGTAGTATAAAAAAAATATAATGTTTTTTTTAATCCATCCTAATAAAAAAACTGATTTCAGATCTCTGCATATATATTTTTTTTTTTTTATCGACATAAATGTTACTTATACCCTCAGATCTTTTACACATTTTGATCATTTGACATTTTTGTTGACTTCAGGTGTTCAATATAATAGAAATCAGAAGTTTACATACGGTGAATAAAAAAACATATTCTTTTTAACTGCCTGAAATTAAATCAGACCAAATTTCTCTTAGGTCAGTTACAATTTCCGAAGTTATTTCTTTTTGCTAAATACAATACAATACAATGATGAGAGAAAAGAATATGTGAGAGATTTATTTAGGAGCGTCTTCAAAATCAGACGTTTATATCTGTTTAGAGGGAAAGCCCAGAAGGTGACGGCTGGGCCGGACTCCCTGCTTATGATGACATCCACAATAAAACTCCTGAAATCATGTAATTTTTTTCCTTCCCAAAAGTATCAAATGCCATGTGCCCAACCATTTGGACACTTTCTGAAGGTGCTGCTTTAAGCTGATGCTCCGCACTGTTTCTGACAGCTGGCACCGAGTGCCGCAGTTAAAGGCATCAGAGTGTTATATATTGACACAAGGATGTTTCTTTTTCTTGTTGTGGTTCAGATTGTCAAACTGTGAACTCAAAGATTGGCAGAGTGAGGTGTTACCAGCAGCTGTCACCTTTAAATTGGCTGTTTCTGCAGGTCGGGGAATAAGACGGAGCTCTTCTCAGATTTGTCTGGCTTCCCGACGCTGCAGGAAAGGATGAACCAAATCCAGTCTGTCCTCGCTGAAATTCAAGCCCACCGCAAAGAGGTCCGGTTGGTGCTGAAGGCCCCCGCGCTCGATTACGTCTCAGTTTCTGGACAGGAGGTGTGTGAGTCTGGGAGAGGGGGGACGGTGGGAGGAGGTCAGCTGGCTATTTGGGTCGAAGTCCCAGCTGTTTGTGTTTGTCTGATTTGAGCAAAGCTGACGCATTATTTTGCCTGTTTTCTCTGCTCTGATTTATCACCCTCCTTCTCTTCTGCTTTCAGTTTCTGATTGAGGTGAAGAACTCGTTGTCAACAATCGTTCCACCTGACTGGGTCAAAATCAGCAGGTCAGCTCACTTACCAGTGAAACAAACAATCAAACACTTTTTACAGGTTTTCCTTTAGTTTTTCCATTTTAAAATTCCCGACCTAGATTCTTGAGTCTCTAGATTATTTTAATTTATTTCTATTCTGTACTAAACCCTGGAAATAGTTGTACTTAGACCACTTTGGCCTAGATCAAGATCAAATTCAAGTCCTTTAAAACACACTTTGCAATTTTATTTGAGGTTTTAATGAATATTAAAAACAGCAGAGAAGTATTGATGTTGATTTGGGATATAATCTAGAGCTATATAAGGAACTGAGACGAAAAGAAGAAGATGAAAAATTTAGCTTGTTTGATCTTGAAACAATTAAAATTTAAGGATTCATTAAGAATGATAATCTTTTTGAAACATGCCAAATAAAAGACTTTCAACTTAAGACTTTATTGAGCCCAGAGGGAAATTTGTATTTGTAATTCTAAAGTATACCAAATAAATGCAAAAAAGAACATTGGTTTTACAACAGTTTTGTTTTTAGTCTTGTGGTAAGTGCTCTAAAAATAATATCCCAGTTCAAACATTTTCCAATGCCCTATTGTCTTCATATTTTCCATTGTTATCAGACAAAGCTAAACACTGAAGCACTGGACTGGCACATCTTCTGGGATTCTTTGTAATTATCAGATAGATACAAACATTTATGTTGAAATAAAATATGTATTAGATGATTCAAACCCATAATCTGATAGTTAGGAGGACCTAAGCAGATCCGACTCCTTTCTGAGAAACACATGTTGTCATGTCGTCTGAAAAGGGAATTAAAAACAAACAAGGAAACAAGCAAATAAATAACCAAAGTCAGTGATTTATTTTTAACATATTGGTATTGATGCCATAAGTAAAACTGGACCGATATTAAAAACCAATATTTACAACAACAGAAAATCATTCGAGGCAACAAAATAACTCTAAACGGGAAATTTGACTGGAATTAAAGCAACTAAATAACAGATAAAGTTATGCAGTCATCTAGAAATCAGGAGCCTGACATCCAATATTGCTGTGACAGTCAGATTCTTGATTACTGTGTGTGTTTGCATAAATAAACATTTTTGCACTAGCGTTGCTGTTCAGATGGTTCTCGGGAATGGTTTACTGAGCATCCAGAGGCGAGCTGTTTGCAAACCTCCTCTCAGCATCAATTCGTTTCACCCACACAGCCGCACCTTGAATCATCACGTTTTGCTGCAGGAAAAGTTGGTTGTTGTTGAACTCTTTTCTTTTCCTCGTGAGGCGACTGGATTCCCGAAAGGTTTGCAAGATAGCAACCAGAAAAAAGGAATCCATGCGTCTCCGCTACTGGCCTTATCTCTGTGTTTGTTGAAATCAATGTCTTTGCTTGCTGATGTTCCGTATTTACACTCTGAACATCAGCTCAATATCAGCTGGGTGGAGAGTAAATGCTCATTGTTGTTGCTGCAGTTTCTTCTCTGGAACCTGAAGATTATCTACGTTCTAGCCCTTTCTTTTTATAACAAAAATGGTCAGTTTTAAAGTTTTGCCACAAATGCTGGCAGTGTTTTGTGAAAATTTTAATAGTCTTTATGTTGTTTTATTTTGTTGGAAAATTATGACATAGACTAGCACTGACTTGCTCATAATTATGAATTGAAAGGAAAAAATCTGAAAAAGGTTGCTCTGCATTTCTATTCAACCCCCTTTACTCTGAAACCTGTAAGTAAAACCCACTGCAGTAGTCAGCATACTGAAAATTTTAAAGGTTAAAATTGATAGTTAAGAACTAGAGTTTGGTATTAAGTAGTTACGTTCACTTAATTACATTTACTATCATTTAGTAACTTTCTGGAAAAATGTACTTGTGGTGTTTTTCCTAAACTACTTTTTACTTGAGTAGCTTTATTATGAAGTCTCGTTACTCTTATTTGAGTGAAATTTTTGGATACTCACGGTGAGTAACTTCACTGAATGAAGAAAAAACATGTTTTTACCAACAAAAGACAGATACATATTTACAGTTTTCATTAAAGTTTAATAAGTTTTACATCGGAAGAAACTGATTTGGAAAATTTATTTTGTTATTTTGTAGTTATGTTATATTAATCATTTTTATTGAGGTCTTTGAAATACCAACATTTTTACATAAGCTTTTATTTTGATATAATTTCTAAATATTGAATGATTACTGAAGTAAACTTTTTACCAAATACTCTTTTAGTCCTACTTGAGTAATTTCTTGGAAAACTTTTTTTTTTCTTTTCTTTTTTTTTTTTTGAGTAAAAATATGTCAAAGTAGTGCTACACTTGTAGTACAATTTTTGGGTATCCTACCCACCTCTGCTAAGAACACACACGGTAAAAAGCTCTGCGGTATCAAGATCCAGTTGTTTTATTCCTGAAGAAGGGCTTTAATGCTTGTTCTCCTCCTCTTCCTCTGCAGCACAAAGACTGTCAGCAGGTATCACTCTCCTCTCCTGGTTGAACGCTACAAGAAGCTGCAGCAGCTCCGAGAGCAGCTGCTGCTCGACTGCCAGAGGGAGTGGACCCGATTTCTGGAGTACGACAGAGGCAACTCCACACACACACACACACACACAGTTCTTATCAGGAATTCATATAAAAAACTGTTAAAACTCATAACAAGTCTGCGGTTCAGAGGTATGCGTCCACAGCTCTCTGCCTGCCAGAATTGGTCTGTTTAAGTCAAGCACCCTGTCAGAGCCGTCTGCTCTGAAACCTGTATTCACTAAGCTTAATTTACACTTGAAAATCATTTTTTCCTCTCTCTTTCTCTCTCTGTAGTCAGTTTGGGGAGCACTACCACACCATGAAAAGAGCTATTAGTCACCTAGCAACCACGGACTGCCTCCTTTCATTGGCTGAGGTGGCCAAACAAGGGAATTATTGCAGGTGATTTCCTCTTATGCTGACCATAAATATTGATGCATGCATATTTGTGTGTGTGTTGGGGTATTGTTAATACTTCTCTGTGTGGATACGTGTGTGTATGAGTGTGTGTGTGTGGTGGTGGGGATGGGGGTTGTCCTCTGTCGTGTCCTATAGACTCCGACAGGCTGTATGTGGGTGTATGCACCGGGCTGAGCACTGTGCTCTGCCAGAACACCAACATCTCTCCCACTCACTCACACACAACCATCTTTATAGTGTCTATTTCTGCACGTTAGATTTCAGCTTTTTCCTCCATCCGCATCGTAGCACTGAATGCGTTCTTTCATGCAGCTTCCTTTTAACCTCAGCTCACTTAAAATTTCTCACTTTGGCTGTTTTAAATGTTGCATTCAGCTGTAAAAGCTGAAAGCCTGTGCTTGAAGAGTTCTGGAGCAGGAAAAGAAAGATGCATCTGCAAGCCTGTCAAAGAGGATTGAGCCTCATGGGTGGGGAAAAGGAAGACGTCTCATGAGACAACCCAACTTTCACAGAGCATAAAGCTCTTACTTCACCGCTCCGTCTGTGTTTTGACCCTGGGCTATGGTTATAAGATCCTGACCAGAACATCCTGCATTCAAGTGGCTGAAATGAACTTTCTGTGTATGGTGGCTGAAATAAGCCTTAGGCTATGTTCACACAGAACTATGCACAAATCCAATTTTTTGCCTACTTATTGAAACCGACTACTGTAGTGTGAACGGTTTGTGTCCCCAAACCTGACGTCACTCAGAGATGCAATGTTTAAGGAAGCAATAATGATGGAGCTGTTTATATATGATTTTAAAGTTGATTCAAGGAGCCATCACTCCCTGGATAAATCGCAAGATCATTACAAGGTCAAAGGAAGCTAATAAAAAGAAAGCACAACTATTAGAAGCGGCCTTTTGTGGAGCATTGACCGTAACTTCAGTAGGGACGTCTGTTTGGATGTGTAGTCAGAGCCAGAAGTGGTGGGATTGTGATTTGATTCGCTCCAGTGACACAGACTTCTTTTATAATGTCACAGTCATTTTCAGCCATTGTTTACGTCCTGATTTAACACGACTGGCTTCTTATGGTGCAAAATCATGATGCATGTCTCACATAAATGACATAAAACCCGGACAAAATGTGACATGATCGTTCAGCTCGCAGACTCTTTGAAAACAATCAGATTCACTGCAACATATTAAAGTGGAATCGACTGGATTTTTTGGGGGGGATGAAATAATTAAAATTGGGCCGTTCAGACTGCAGTGAAAATGACAGATATGGGTCGCATTTGCCTTAGAGGAGGAGCTTAGTTATTCTGGTGTAAAGTTGTTGCTGCTATGCATCAAAAGGAGTCAGGTGAGATGGTTCTATTATCTTGGAATGATGCCTTCTGGATTATTTCCTTTTGAAGCTTTTCCAGTCATGTTCCACTGGGAATAGACAGAGTAAACCAAGACGGCACCAAAGAAATTATAAATCTGTGCTGGACTGGAAGCACCTTGGGATTCCTCAGAATGAGCAGGAAGGGGGATATTTCAGCCCTGATCCCCGTCCAGGATAACTTGGAAAAATGGATGGATGGATCTAAGCTCTAATTTCAAAATTAGACATAAAATTGTCATTTTCCTGCTTTATTTTCTACATTCATATTTGTCTTTTTTCTCTTTCAAAAAAGTCCCATTGAATCATTTTCAATCCCAGCAGTTAAAACCACTGCTGCTCACTCCGTTGTTTACATGTCAGTATTTTCAGGGATATCACTGTCAGAATTATTTGCATCCTTGCTGTTAATACTTTGTACAACCCATTTGCAAACAGGACAGCATTTTCTCTTCTGTTACATCTCACATGGTTGGATCATAGGTTTATCATTATGTTGATAGATTGTCTAGATTCTTTGGTCCTCTTTCAGGGTCTCTTCTCCACACTATCGAAAATCCTTCATCTTGATCTGAAGCTGTTTCACTTCTTTTCTGTTTTTTTGTATGTGCTCCCAATTTTCATTATCCACTTGGATACTTAAAAGGATAAAAAGAAAGGATCAGTGGCCCTTTTTATTTGTATTTCAGATTTAGGGCATCTGTTGCTGTTTTTTTTTTTATATTTGTACAGTTTTTACAAATTCACCAGCTCCTAAACTGCAAACTGCCAGTATTTTGCAACCCTAACAAGCAAACTTTGGTTTGAAATGAACATCATCTCTGAGTTTTGTTTCTACTGTGTGCTGATGTCTCTCACCGACTTCTCTCTATTCAGGCCAAAGGTGTGTGAAAATAATCACCAGATAATGATCACTGATGGCAGACATCCTGCGATAGATTTATTGATGGGAGAGCATGGCCAGTATGTTCCCAACCACACCACATTACAGGTACAAACACACACGCACATATTCAAATAACTCTGAGACAAAGAGCTTTGCACGACACACGCTCACACACACGCATACCCACACACTGACTTCCTCGCTCGGCGCTCGAGTGGGTGTAGGTTAATCTTGCAACAGAAGCACAAGGCTGTGGGAAGAGAAGCCAAGCTTTTTCAGTCCACCCACCTCCTCAGCTGTGCGTGCAAGCATGCAAATATCTCATTCTAGTCACAGTTGGTGTCTTCTTCTCCTCTTTCTGTTTGTTTTAGCGTGACAGCAAGAGAACTATGATAATCACAGGGCCCAATATGGGGGGCAAGAGCTCCTACATCCGCCAGGTCGCCCTTATCTGCGTGATGGCCCAGATGGGCTCGTACGTCCCGGCGCGTGAGGCCTGTCTGGGCGTACTGGACGGTATTTACACCAGGTACGGCCACAAGCTCACACACATTCAGGTCTCATTCCTGCCTTGAGTTATTACAAGCCAGAAATTAGTAACTTGAAAGAAACTCCCTGATTTCTTAACTTGTAGCAAATCACTCGTAACTGAAAAAAAAAATACTACAAAAGATTATTGCATATTTGTCTATACAAAAATAGATGAATTCTTCGCAGAGACCCTGTCCGCATGCTACAACATCTTGACTTAGTAAAATATTCCCATACCGACTTGCAAAAGTTCCTCGGCTTTATGCAATCCTAAAGATTTTCATTCATGGTTAGTTTTTTACTGCATCCCATGAGTGTAAACCATTCTTGTGCTGATGTGGTTGTAAGCTTGGCGTCAGCTGACCGGTGTCTGGTACTGTTCATGTTCTAACCCACCATAACTTACATAGACCCAGTTCTAACTGAAGGAAAGCTGCCTCTCAGAGCTTTGTATTGCACCATTACAACCTGCATTTTAACCATATGAAAATGTTGGATGAACATACGAATAACATTTCTTATTTTTGCTCACAATCGTGACAGCAATGCTGATTCCGATTCCAGCTGGCTTTTTGTCCAATTATATATTTTTATTCATCTGTTTTTTATTAAATACTTCCCCCCAGCTCTCTCCCTTTTTTGTGTGTTTTTACTTTTACCAGTTGCTTTATTTGTTGTCCACTTCTCTTGGATCTCTTTGTATGTGTGATTTATTTCAGTTGTTGCTGACGTGTGGTGTATATTTTATTCCACTAGAAGTATCTACTCTAAGAAAAACGTCAATGTCTTCCTTAACTCCCCTGCTCTATATGCGATGCTGTCGAATGTGTTTTTATTCCTTTCCTCCTGACTGATGCCTTTGTTAGATGAGATTAGTTTGATCCTTTGCAACCTCTCTGCAAAGACTTTTGCTAATATATGCAGATGAGCAAATGTCAAAGACTCACTATAATTGATTGTGTGAACACATAAAGATTGAATGGTGAAATTGAATGGAGAGATATTGCTGCACATGCTTTGGGTTTCACTTTCCTGTGTGGTTGAATCTCTGTGATAGAGCCTTGGGTTTGTTTCAGTGCATTTGATGATTGATTAGATAAAAATAAAACTGCAGAAATTTGAGGTTAACTTGTTATTTCTCAGGTTCTCTGAGGATTAATGAGCAGCTTTGCTGTGAGACAAAGCTGTGTTTAAAAAAAAAAAAAAAAGCTGCTGGAGACCTTTACCATGGAGATTGCACTTGAATTATATATAAGGGACTAAAGTTAACAGTTCATTTATTGAGGGTTTCCACACAAGTCTAGAAGAGCATGGGATTTCATTTCAGTATTTTCCAAGTCTGGAGGAGAAAGGAAAAAGAAAATAAAAGTATAAAATAATGATTTCCTGTCTTTATCCAAATAACATCATCCTGTCTCTATTGGATTCTACACAAAGTTCAGTCAGGCTTAAGCCCAGAAGAGTTTTTATAAATATGTGACTTATAGTTTTGATTTCCGTTTGTTTTATTTACTCATATTTTTAAATATGGACCTGTTTGTCTTTAATAAAGGTGATGCAGATGATGATATTCCCATTATCTTGTCAGTTAAATTAACGGTGATCAAACCTGAGCAACCATGCATGTCAAACGGAAAGTCTCAAGCTGCACTATTTAATTATATGATTTTCTCTTGTTTTCTCAATAAACAGTAAACATGCTTAATAACTCACACCTTCACTACTAAACGTTCTTTATTGGTTCATTATTAGGCGATCATTTATAAGGACATCGGTGAAGAAGGAGACGTCTCTCCGCCTGAACGTCTCATAAAACTAATCTCACTTTCCCTGCCTGTGACACCGCTGAGTTTATTTTTAGGTCTGACTCTCAGACAAATCCCTTTTAATCCATTTTGTTGCTTACCTCAGAGAAGGTGTGCAACAGAACGGAAAAAAATGAACAATAGTTGTTCGACACAGCTGACTTTATTGTTCCATCTTGGTTCGATACGCCTCGATTCATCTCTCTCTGCCAGACAAACTGTCAAACAGTAAGGCTTTGTTGCTGCAAGCTTTTTTCTATTTTATCATTATTCTTAATATGATGAGAGTTACTACAAGCCCTCCAGTTCTCCCTGCATATTGGTATAGAGTGGAGGCCAATATATGGTCTCCGTTATTCTCCTGCTGCAGCAGACTGTGATTAGACCTAATGGCTTGCAGATGTGTGCAATTGTCTTTTTTGTGGGTTTAAGCATGTTCCCATGTAACAGCCCAGTGGGAGCCTGAGATTGTCTGCAGTATGTGTTCAAACTCAAGTTTTAAAAGAAACAATCTGGGATTTGGGTTGCAAGCTTGGATCTTTAACCTGTACTAGCTGCTTCTGGGGTCTGTAAATATAGAGGCTGAATGTGTGGAGTTATCTTTGAGAGCTGAAGAAAAAAGCTTGGGTATGTGAAGTTAACGTGAAGATATGACTGTATATGAATTACATTTCTCTCAAACTGAAAGTGAGGATACACAGGATACAAAACTGTGCCAGGCGGTCTCGTTTTCGTCAGTTTTCCCCACAAACTGTGGCTTCACACACCATCAGTGTGTAAATGTGGGACTGACTGGTTGTAATGTAAAATGCTTTGGAGTCCTCAGACTTGACAAAGCGCAATCTATGCAAGGCCAATTACCTTTGGGTGTTTATGTGAGTAAAATTTGTAAACTTTCTTTATGTAGCAACCTGTTCACAAGTGCAAAACCACAAAGGTGTTTTACAATAAAAACAGGCATGAGAAAAATTACAGATAAACCATAAAAGATTAGATAAAACAGCATGTGTATAACATCACAACACCTTTTCCCTTTGCAAATAATTAGCTTGCAGTAGAATATCTTAAAATATACACAACATTGTCAGGTTTTACCAGGTTATGATTATTATGTATTTTTTATGTTAATTTATATTCACCTTTGATATATCTTACACATTTCAATACTCTGTCACTTCAGTGAACATTTCTTGCATGAAAGTCCAATGGCAGCGAACTGTACGCTCTTTGTCTCTCTCTCTCTCTCTGTCTCTCTCTCTCTGTCTCTGACTCTTTTTCTCTCTCTCTTTCTCTCTCTCTCTCTCTCTCTCTCCCTTTCAGTCTGTCGCTCTTGGTTGCTCATACACTCACTTGTTCACTATCTTTATTTACACTTTTCTTCAATTGCAAAATAATATTAATTTAAATTGGGGTTACAGTTCATTCTCATTTTTTGCAGGGCTTTGGAAGATGTAAATAGTTTTAAGTCTATTACATCTTAATAATTTTTTAAAGTTAAAACAGCCCAGAGTACTCCCTGTTTTACCCAGATGATACTGTGTTTTTTTGCCTTTGTTTTTTTAGCTCACTGTTTAATTTGCAATACAGATGTTAATATTGTCTTTATCTCAGAAACGAATAATTAATTTCCAGAGGCGAAACACACCCACATCATGTATCTGCTGTTGTCTCCTCTCCTCCTCTGTTGCTTCACTCATCCTGTCAGTGTCTAATTAGACTATTTATCCTCTCCCCATCAGAGGTTATGATGCTGGGGCAAATCTGTCTCCATGATAAACGCTCAATCAGCTCCTACTGCTGTGTCAGCCATAATAAACGCAGCAGTTGGAATTGCCTCGTCACATGAGAGAGGGGAAAATGTAAATTAGCGCTTGGCAGGTGATTTTTAAGGGGGATGATCAGATTTTTTTTGGGTTTGGAGTAACGGGAGGGTGCATTGATGTTAAATCCTATCTGGGCTGATCCAGATGACTGATTATAAACGAGGACAAAGAGAATAATCTGGATTAAAATTCTGTCCTGCCTTGCAGAGTCTTATCATTTTTCTGCCCTCTTTGCTATTAAGCAGTTATATGTCTGTTATGGCTGATGGTGTGTGCGTGTGTGTGTTGTTTCATATTGGCTGACAGATGCATATTTGTATGTGGATGCATGCAGCTGCTGTTCTCGCTTGTCAGTATCGAGTCCTGAAGGTTACAGAGCACATTCTTCCATGGCTCCATGGTTGTTATGGAAACAGCAAGGGGAAGCAGGATGTAAAACTGTTTTAAAACGACCTTTAATTGACAACGCGTTCAGAGCTGTGATTAGACCTTCTGCTGAAATCTCTTCCTTGCATTTAGAAAGTGACTCGTCTCTTGTTTCGGAGTTCAAAAGACACGGTCAGTGTGAGTTTTTATAGAGTTGTAGAATTACTCTGGATGTGCTTTCTTGCAGGTGGTGTGAGGGGATTCTTTGGCCTCTTTCGTTTTATGTGCAACTCACACTGATGGTTTTATTTCAACTATATATTTCTTTTAAATCCCAAGGCATTAAACTTTGTGCATGAATCAGAACATTGCCTCCAAGATTTCAGTATAAGGGATGTAAAGTGCTACCTTATATTTAGTCCACGGATATAGAAATCCACAGATGTAAATTCCAATGA